GGCTGGGTGGGTGCTGAGGCTGGGTGGGTGCTATAAGGCTGGGTGGGTGCTGTGGCCGGGTGGGTGCTGAGGCTGGGTGGGTGCTGTGGCCAGTGAGTGCTGCGTCCCAGGATTGTGGTCTTCCGGGGCTCTGCGGGTGTCTGCTCACGTTGCATGATGAGTTATGTGAGGAGGGATGGAACCGTGTGCATTGAGCCCTTGGCATGGCTTCTTTGCTTCCCAGCTCTTTATCTTGAGGAATTTCAAATCAATAGGAAGTTGCAAGAGTTGTGTGCAGTGAACACTCGTATTCCCTTTCCTTCATGGCCAGTTGTGACGTCTTACCACATCTGTTTTCTCCCTCTGTTTTCTCATTGTTTTTGAACCATTTGAAGGTAAGTTGCAGACAACAGGACACTTCCCTCTAGATACTTCCACATGTACCTCCTAGGAACAGGACGTTATCCTGCCTGCCCACCGCCCCATCATCCTCCTGTTGGACTTAAACATTAGTGTTGTCCTGTTACCTGCCCTTCCACAATTGTCCCAGTCTTTTGATTTTTTTTTTTTAATTTTCAAACTGGTATCCAGTCGGGGGTCACACAGCACGTTTAGTTAGTCTTTAGACTCCATTAATCTAGAACAATTCCTTTGTCTATGAGCACAGTCTCACACTGTCATCCTTGGTAGAGTGCCGTGGTGTCATAGCTCACAGAAACCTCAAACTCTTGGGCTCAAGTGATCTTCTTCCCTCAGCCTCCCAAGTAGCTGGGACTAAAGGCACATACCACAACACCCAGCTAGTTTTTCTATTTTTAGTAGAGATGAGGTCTCGCTCTTTCTCAGGCTGGTCTCCAACTGAGCTCAGGTAATCCACCCAGCTTGGCCTCCCAGAGTGCTAGGATTATAGGTGTGAGCCCCTACACCCAGCCTGCCTGGCGGTCTTTCTCCCACAGTGTTTCCTACTCCCAGCCTCCCCAGGTGTGCTGAACTTGAGCTCCTTTTTCCTATGTAGGCTGAGTCTAAGTGGATGATAGGGACACACTAGCTTGGGAGCATTAGTCAGTGGGACATTCTGCAAGCATTTTCACCTCCATCAGGTGCTTCTCAGAACACACGGGAGCAGTTGAGTATATGCGGCTCTTAGAGTTTTGCTGTCTGCCCTTTCTCCTGCCAGGCCAGAAAGTGGTGGAGGGTGGGGCCCTGACTATCAGTTTCTCATCCCTCCTGTTGTGCAGACAGTGCCCAGGCGAGACGAGGCACCCACACGGGAAATGCTCAGGGTTCGACTTTGCAAAGATGGCTTGAACGCTGTGCTAAAAGGATTTTTCTGCCCACTAATAGCCCGCCGGGTTAGTGCCCAGCCTGGTCTGCTAGAGCACTTTAGGTGGCCACAAGGGTGTTTTCCGGGAAGTGAGGTTAAATAATGTAACCTCTGAGTTTATCCTTCACCTCTTCTAACCCCGTAACAGAGTCCTATTCTGGACCAGATTTGAAGTGAGTGAGTTGTATCCATGATAAGAGTGTTTCTTGGCCAATTACAGCCTAAACTTGGACTGACAAGATGCCCAGGGAAGAGGTTGTTTTGCTTAAGTGGATTTTCAGGTTAATGGAGGGTTAAGCAGAGACCCCATTTTAGGTGAACCCTTGTTGTGGAAAATGCTGATCCGCCCACTGGCCGGCCTTCCTGAGTGGGACGTTAAGATCATAATTGCACCTTTGTCATCCCGCCGGGCTCTCAAGGTCGGTATTCTGAGCAGCGTTCCCCGTCACATGGTTCTGCAGCTATAGAAGGTAGAGGAGACGCTGACCCCAAAACCTTGCCCGACATTGCCTTTTTGATAAATCCCAGTTATTTTCTTGTTTCTATTCCTATTTAGAATCTAAGACTTGAGTGCCTAAGGGAAGAATACAGAATCGGTTCATCGGAGGTTCTAATTATTTACGGTTGCTAAAGGCAGAAAGGGACCAAACCATACGAACTACCAGGCCTGTGCTTGGTGCTTTATTTATGTTTTCTTTTTAAACTTATCTAACAATCTAATAATATAGATATTTATATCCACATTTTGCTAATAAGGAAACCAAGGCTCAGAATGGTGGGAACCTTGATGGAGGCAAACTTGTTAGTTTAATGGCAAAACCAAGATTTGCAGAGACTGGAGCCGGGTCTCTCGGACTTCCAGGCATCTGCACTTTCTGTTATACGTAAGATTGCCTCCGGGGTAGAAGCAGCAGCTGCAGAGTTAGGAGGACCCGGGATCTGATCTGAGGATGGTCTCCTTCTTTTGTGGATCTTGTGCTGATTCTGTTGTGTTTTCACTGTAAAGTGAGAACCAGCAGCGGTTGGCCCAGGAGACTTAGGAGTGTCATTGTGCTGGGCCCTTAGGAGGCCTCTGCTCCGAGGTGTGTGGTCACGTGCTTTCCTGGCCCTCCGGGAGCTGGGGAGGGCAAAGGTAGATGCTGTGGGCCGCACACGGCTCCCAGAGGGTGGGCAAGGCACCAGGGAGACTGCAACCCCTTAAGTGTTGCTGTCTCTCCTCTATTAAATATTTATGCATTTAGCACTTACGAGCTTCTTATCCAATTTTACTCTTTTCCCCCGATATGTTGGTTGGTGCAGGTGCTTTTATTTGGGGGAAACAGAGGTAGAAAAATACATGAGGGCTGACTAGCTGGAAAGTGGAAACTTGGGTGAACACTGGTGCATATTAGCTTACTTAATCTTCACTGTGACCCTAGGAGGAAAGTACTGCTTTCCTGTTTTATAAATGAAGTCGCAGAGGCTCAGACGGGTTTCAGCTTGCCCGAGTCAGATACTTCATGAGTGGGGAAGCTGGGATTTGAATCCAGGTATGCCTTAGTAAAAAGCAATTGGAGTGGGGAGACGTTGGCCTTTTTTTTTAAAGCTATATAATATGAAATAATTATTTCTCCATTAAGTTAATGGTGTCATTTATAGAAGAGGTTTTCTGCTTGTAGATCGCTGGGACTGGTAGTAAGCACAGTGCTAACCACAATAGCAGCTGATATTCATCGCGCATTTCTTGTGTGCCCATCCTCATCCTGACTGTTTTGTATGTAATGACTTAGTTCTTCCTTACTTAATTCATGCAGTGCCGTGAGACAGACTGTTTTACCCATTTTACAGCAGAGGATGCTGACACAGAGGTTACATGCATTGCCCGGCATCCCTTGATAACTGGTAGAGCCAGGATTCAAATCAAAACAGGCAGCCTGGCCCCAGAGTTCAAGGTCTTAATTTTATTATATTACAATACTTTCTAGACAATTGTTTTTTTAGTAATCCTTATTGGTGCCATCCATGTACTTTTATTTAATGACATCTTTCTCTGGTTTGGCATCCCTGATTTCCTGACCCCTTTAGCAAATGCTTAAATCCGGAAGTCACAAGGCATTTGTAGAGCTTCCTTGAGACACAGTTTGCTCACGGTGGAGAAGTTTAGTCTGTGCCTCTGATGATGCCTCTGTTTCTTCTGATTTCTGCCACAAGGTGGCTCTGAGACTTGGGGATGCCAGAGCTCAAAGCCAGCAGGGCCTCTCGTCTGCTGTGGTGCAACCTTAGCTCTGCTCTGGTGTTGTCCATAGAAATGTCCTCTGCCCCACTCTCACCCTTTTAAAAGAATATTTTTTCCAATATTCTTATTCTGTCAAAATGAAATAGTGACCTGGGACTCAGGCTGGCCTGTTTATCCTCAGCCTTGCACTGCCGTCCTGTTGTGCCTCCCAGCAAGGCAATGTGTAGGCTGCGCCCAGCCTGCTCCCTGCCCGAGCCCAGCTGATCTTGGCTATTTGATTCATGAAACTCTCCGGTTAGAGGACACACTGCACTTGTTACAGATATACCATCGACCCT